ACGCGTAAGCGGAGCCGGTAAAACGGATGTTTGCGACCGTTAAATCAGCATTAACGGTCGCAAATACCAAATTAGAAGATTAGTTATTCCCATTCTAATGCAATCCATGCATTTTGTTTGTTGTTTACGTCTTATTTTGATGAATTTTGTTACATGAAATACGTCACGGAGCATTGTGTTTTTGCGTCGCTCTATTTATGACGTCACAATGAAAAAGCTTTCACGCTCGTTAATGCTCGTTTTACTGCTTCAAACATCAGTGAAATAGCCAATCAAAAAATGTTTTACAAAACTATTGCATTAGAATTTAGAATTGTTCTATTTCATAGCGGTCTTGATTTCTTTCTTTAATAGTGTTTATAAAAATTTCCAATTCAACATGTAACTTTGTTAATATATAGTGTTTAGTAGTAGTGCTAGTTGGTTTTCGTTTCTCTTTTTCCTTTGTTCTTATGACTTTTTAACTTTTTTCCTTGTCCTGAGGAAGGAACAGGGCGTCCCGAAAATTTGACAATTTTATTGTTCGTGTCGTCGGTCAAATACTTAATATGAATTTCCATCCATGGCCTTGAATCTACTTGGTAGATCCGATATTTAGGATATACAGTGTTGTTTGTTTTTTTTAGTGCTTTAAAAGTACATCGTGATTAAGAAATAACAAAGAGAGAAAGTTCCTTTTAAATATAGTACGAACACTTCTAAATACGTATCAATCTATCGGAGGCTTAGTCTTCACTTCCGCGTATTGTTGCAATAAAATACATCTGCAATGACAAAAAAATTGCAGCGTCACTAAAACGGAAGTACTAGTTTAATCTTAAGGTTCATAAACCCTCTGGTCACTCATAAAAATATGAAGTTTGAATCTTCATGATTTTTCAAAACGATTTTTTATTTAAAATGCAAACAATTATACATGTAGCATTGCTTGCAGGGCAAAATTAGTCAAAAAGACACTTCAACTTGACATATCTATAAAGAAATAATTTTTTATGTCACTACGAGTATCAATGAACCTTAATGTACACCAGTTGCATAAGGTTCCTTACTTTATAAGGAGATCAGTTTTTACAATTTAAGAGGTTTCATTGTGTGAAAACTACAATAGAGAAACTCTTTAAGAAGAAGCTACAGTTTCAATACAACTCTTGCCCTGTGATTTTCATAAAAATGAAACTGATGTACATGTAAAATATGAAAACTCATGCATTTTGAATTATTGAAATTCCATGCATAAAAATTATACAAATCATTTTTCTCACATGATATTTCTAAATGCTTATTGTGACATCATAAACATGTGAATTTTCCAGTATGTTCTAAAAATGTTGCAGAAGACAACGATTTTTAATGGAATTTTCTTTCAGAAAACATTGTCCACAGAATCGCCCACAAAGATTTTTAGATATGTGATTTTTCATTGTATTTTACACAACATATCCAAAAATTAAAGTGGATGACGGCTGTGCACATTATTTTCTAAAGGAAAATTCCCCTTGAAATGGGTTATTTTGAAGCCTTTTCTGTTTGAAATAGACAAATACGTCAAATTAATGATGTCATATTTCCAGAACGGTACTCCTTCATGCCATATTCTTTTCTGATCTTTCAAAGTCATAAACTCAACTAATATTAAGGCCAGTTTCAGAACCTTTTGAAAACATTTAATTTTTAGGGCTCAATAAAGCTAAAACTATACCTTTTTTCTTTATTAATAACATATGTAAGTTACACTGACTTCAATGAACAAGCCAAGTTTGGGGAAAATCTAAAATACAGGTACATTTACAAAAGGATTATATACAAAAGTGCCATTTTTTCGCACTTTAAAGCAAATTATACAAATACTACAATAGACTGTTTGCTTAAACTACGATATATCGTATCGTTATAAAAATCATTTATATAAAGTTATAATTATCTTGTTATTTTTAAAAATTTTTTATAATTAGTGAAAATGTTGCTTGAAAACATGTAAAACGCTTCGTTTTACTATAATGGTCAGAATATTACTCTCTGGAAACCTCAGTTTGTCCCCTAAAATCAATCGCATTACAAAGCTATCAAAAAGTTAAAACAATAACCGTTAAGTTAATAACAATAATTTTTGACCTACTCCATATCTAGATAAGAGACAACATTAAAAGTAAATTAAAACATAAAACGTGAGATTATTCAAGTTTAAGGGACAATATCCCTCTGCTCCACATTTAACGACTTTTTTTTTAAAATTCCAAACATTGATTTTCAGCAACAACTATAACATTAAATTCAAATAGAAAATAGTTTGAGGTATGAAGCGTTGCCTACTTTTTCATAAATGAATAATATGTCAAATCATGATGTGAAGAAAATTTGATACAGTCATTAGAAAGATCAATTATTTTTAATCTCACAATTAAATTAGAAATATGAGGTATATATAAAAATAATATTTACTCTCATTCCTATCTAATTCCCTTTAGAAAACATACTGAAGCGATGCTTTTTATTTCAGAATATCAAATTGTTTTTCTGTGCATGGAAAATAAAATGCATCGCATCTATAAACAAGAGTTATCGGTCCATTATCGCCCTTGAAATTCATTTTTAATGAAATAAAATATTATTTAAATGTTTTTTAAACAATTCTGCGGCTGTAATTTCTTTACAATTAAAAGACTTACACGTTTAGAGATTGATTTTTCTTCAATTTACTCCGTTTAAATGAACTGAGTATAAATGTTTTAGGTAAACAATTAAAAATAATTAATTAATAAACTATCAATAGAACTAGAAATCAACCTCTGAACGATGGTGAAGGTTTGCTTGAGTTAACTATAAAATGGTCCTTATGATAGAAATTTGTAAACTCTGACATGACAATTCACTGAATTTCATGACAAAATGCCTGCAGAAAGTTATCTTTCTTATCTGTAGAGTTATCTTTCTTATCAGAGTATCAATGAACCTTAAAATCGTTGAAGATTCCAAGTGATGACGTAATCTGGGTAGCTATGGAGCTGCATGCAATCCTTTTCCTGCTGATAGCTGAGTTTTGCTGGATTATCCGACTCGCTGCTGTACAAGACCTAGGGAAGCTCTTCCTCATTTACATGATGCTTGTGTAAGAAAAAAAAACCCGAACTAATTTAATGAGTGAAGAAGGTATAAATGTTAACAAACTAGTTAAAAAGCAGTAGATAACAGTGAGTAAATAATAAAATTACTATAATATTACATAAAGATTATATTTTGCTGACTTGATAGCATAGGGTGTCAAGAGACGGTGCCTATCGACCAAAGAGCCAACCTCTAAAAAAGTACGAACACTTGTAAATACGTATCAGTCTATTGGTAGCTTAGTCTACACTTCCGCGTTATGTTGCAATAAAAGACTTTTGCAGTGAAAAATAACTCACAGCGTCACTAAAACTAAGGCTCTATGTTGATCATTATGTACACCAGTTGCATTTGGTTCCTCTTTTTGTAAGTAAAACTATATGTATTCTCATTTATTTTTGGAAGAAACTAATAAACCATTTATAAAAATGATAATTGTAAATCCCCCTCTCTCTGTTTTTCATTTTGCAAGGTCACCTAAGGAAACATTTAGGAATACAATATAATATTACAAAGAAATGAACATCGTGATACTTTTATATGAACATACAGTTTGTTTTCATGAGGTCGATTTCTTCCAAACATGTATGTTAATAATTTGTGAAAAATGAATTTCAGGATAACTGGAACTGCCACTACTTCTTGTAAGAACACAGTGACGATAGCAGTACCGTACTACGTAGAAGTGTGCACATGTAGATTTTGGGGTATTTGGTAAGAGCCTATAACACAAAAAATTTAAATGGATGACACTTGTCATCGTTTTTCAATTTTATACTTTCTATCATAAATGTTAAATTTTACTTCTTTGCTATCCATGGGACATTTAAGAGTCGCTTTTAATGTTTAGACATTATTGCTAAATTTTGTATATTTTTATTATTTTGTTTTTGACAATATATTTTAAAAACCAGAAGTCTCTGTCGAGACTGTAGCTCTACTGGTTTATACTTACAACAAAGGAAGAAAAAAGTAGCAGTTGGGACTTGAAACTTTAAAACAGCAATAAATAGAAAATTGATCCTTGTCAGTCATCAAAATTAAAACTGATGCACAGAATTATGTATCTTAGGCTACTTGTGTGCCAAGTTATATTGAAATCGGACCAAAACTGTAGGAGGAGAAGCATTTTGAAAGCATTTCACAGAAATTTTTATTTTTAGTAACCATGGAAACACCGTTCATCAAAATCAGTAACCGATGTACAGAATTATGTATCTAAGTGTAGTCTACTTTTGTGCCAAGTTATATTGAAATCGGACCAAAACTGTAGGAGGAGTAGCATTTTGAAAGAATTTCACAGAAATTTCTATTTTTAGTAACCATGGCAACACCGTTCATCGAAATCAAAATCTGATGCACAAAATTATGTATCTTAGTGTAGTCTACTTGTGTGCCAAGTTATATTGAAATCGGACCAAAACTGAAGGAGGAGTAGCATTTTGAAAAATTGTTTAGACAGACACACGGACGGACGACGGACGCATTACTATCGCATAAGCTCTTCTGGTCTCTGACCATGTATCTTAGTGTAGTCTACTTGTGTGCCAAGTTATATTGAAATCGGACCAAAACTGTAGGAGGAGTAGCATTTTGAAAGCATTTCACAGAAATTTTTATTTTTAGTAACCATGGAAACACCGTTCATCAAAATCAAAAACCGATGCACAAAATTATATATCTTAGTGTAGTCTACTTTTGTGCCAAGTTATATTGAAATCGGACCAAAACTGAAGGAGGAGTAGCATTTTGAAAAATTGTTTACAGGCAGACAGACAGACAGACGGACGGACGACGGACGCATTACTATTGCATAAGCTCTTCTGGTCTCTGACTAGTAGAGCTAAAAATTGTAGCCAAACTTTTAAACTCTTTCAATTATATTCAGTACTCATCATGAATGGGTTTGCCGATATCGTTTGTCTTACACACAGAAATGTTGTCCTGGATATGGAGGTTCTTCATGTGAACGTAAGTACATTTATAAATAACCAACCTCGAATGTTTTGGAGGTCCCTGTTTGCTCTGTTCCTCTTTTGAAATGTTAAATGAATTTTTTCCACACATTTACGAGGGCCGTTCAAAAATTACGCGGACTGTGCTATTATTTCCTCTTACAGACGTCATATTGTTATAAAATTTCACATATTCAAATATGTATCTTAAAGATTCCAATAAATTTTGGGCAAAATTGCTGTATTTTAAAAAAAATTATACTAAAATTATCGGTATGTTGATATCGTTGATGGAGAGGTACGGCGCACGACAAAAAAAAAAAAAAAAAATGAAGCAAAAGCATGCGGATTCAAAAATTTAACTCATTGATTTTCTAAAATTCGAGACGTTTTTCAACAATTTTCTCAAATGTATCTTTAAATTGTTCTATTATTATGTATTTAGATTTCGGACGTAATATGTGAAGTACTAACAGAAATAAAGTAATTTTTCTCTGATGCAATTCCCGTGAAAAAGACTGTGAAAATGACGTCTCCTAAATTGACGGCGCACCACGCTTTTGTTAAAATATGTGTAATGCTCGCGATATCGGCAACATAGATCCAAAATATGCATAATAAAACATGTAGTAAACTAGGCTACTCGTGACATTCGCCCACAAATAGCAAATTGAAATTTTAGACAGTTAGACCTCTGTAAAAAGGCTATACGGGAGGACGGGAAGAAGATTATCGACGAAAAGTTAACTTTATCCTGACTGTAAAGAACGTCATTGAGAGTCACCAATATCACACTATATCTCATATGTAGTTTTTGGTTTAAAAAAAAAAAAAGAAGAATATTCTTTACTTTTTTTAATAGATTTTAAGCTTTACAAGAAATGGTGTTTTGATGTTGAGTAGATAAGGTAACTCAAACTATACAGGCACTCAAGGGAAAATGTTGAGAAAATGAAAGCTCAATAACATATTTTTTGTAATGCTTGTGACGTCGAAGATTTTGCTGCTCGGTGACTTAATGGTATGTCCTGAAAAATCACTCAAAATTAATACCAATTTACAACATTTTGATATGAAATTTTGAAGACCATATAAGTAAAGATTCTTTTATATTATTTGTGAAATTTTGCCCAAATATGTCGTCAAATATTTCTTCTGTGCAACAAGTCCGCGTAATTTTTGAAAGGCCCTCGTATATACAAAAAGAATAAAAGATATACATTAAGGGGTGAATTAAAAAAAATAACCAAAAAATACAGGCTATGGAAATAAATTTCTATGTCCCAACATCTGTCTATTGAAAGTGTCTAAATACCTGCCAGATAGCTCATTGATATCAAAATTGTAACAAGAGGCCCGGGGCCACATCGCTCACCTGAGTACTGTGGCTTGGAAAAAAGCAAAAATCAGTTTATATTAGTATTAAAAAGCTTAAATGCATGAGTGGTCCCGACCTAATCCTAAAAGGCAGAAGGAGTAAGGGGTAGGGGTTTCAATTTGAACAAATTTTATTCTGCACTATCTGAGGATGCTTCCAAATAAAATGACAAACCATGGCTTGTCTTGTTTTGAGAAGATGTCTCCTATATACTTCTATATTAAACTTTGATCGTCCCTTGTGGCTCCACACTACCCCCAATGGTCATGATTTGGACAAATTTGAACTATCCGTGGAATCTTTCACATCATTTGATGTGTGATTAGATATTCTTAAGAAGAAGATTTTTAAAGATTTTTGATATATATTCCTGTGTAAAACTTTGATGGTCCATTGTGGCTCCACCCTTTCCCTGGGGGTCAAACTTTGAATAAACTTGAGTCTACACCACCTGAGGATGAATCCATATAAATTATGACCAACCATGGCTTTTATGTTCATGAGAAGAAGATTTTTAAAGATTTCTTCCTGTATATTTCCATGTAAATAGTCCATTGTTGCTCCATAATATCCCTGGGGGTCATGATTTGTACAAACTTTAATATTTACATTTGCATGTGTTTTCCTTTATATAACACTACTGAAAGCAAGCGTTTTTATAAGTATATAAATACAGTATGGGGTCAAGAGGTCATAGATGTTCGTATGGATAAACGTTTGACGTAATTTCTCAGTGACGTCATAAAGGGTCGACGCGCGTTCATTGGATTACATACATGCCGTTGGGTTTGAAAAATAATGCATTCCACACGTTAAAAGTCACAAACAGGCAAATATAAAGTATGAATAAGTTACAAATGTAAATATAAGTAATAACACTCAAAAAATGATACCTTATTTCTTAAATAAACACCACCTGCAGATACTTCCATATGAATATTATCAATAATGACTTCACTGTTCTTTTATATATAGTCTACATATTCCTACATGTATGCAAAACTTTGATCATCTATTGTGGACCCACCCTTCCCCTTGAACAAACTTAAAAGCCAAAGAGAAGAAATGGAAAGCAATTAAGGGAGGAAGAAAGCGAGAAAGCCATTGAATAATTTCATTTCCTGAACTCATTTATTTGCTTGTTTAGTTTCAATTTCACACGCGGCGGTTAGTCGAAAATCGACTTTACTTACGAATGCGCATGCGATCTAAGACAGGAATAAAATCATCTGATGACGGTTTAAAATTTTAATCAGAAAACAAATCATCAACATTTTTGTGTTAAAAAATTGTTCAATTCTAAATTATTCGTCAGCGTCCACATTATATTACTCCTAGTATTACTCGAGTACAGAATTCCTCCTCCTTTCTCTCTTTCGTATTCTCTCTGTCGGTTGAAGTCCCAAACAATGCCAAAGAACATAAATAAATAACACTAATGATACATGCATAAATCTTGCAAATATGCAATGAAATATATTGAGATACCGAACAGTATTCAAGCTCAAAAGTCAATTATACAATGTAAAATAGTAGCAGAGCAAACACGGACGTTGAAAACATCAGAAGCGGGATAAGACGTTAAAAGACAGATACTATCTTGTTTGAACATCGACTATTTATACAAGGTTTTAGCCAAGATAATGATATTTTTTATGATCGTTTTTTTTAAAAGAAAGTTATTCTATTAATAAATAAAGGTTTGAAAAAGCAACTCTAAATTTACATTAAAAAATGAAATACTTCTTCCTTACTGCAATACATAATACATGCTTTCACATCTTTCAGAAACAGTTTCATTATGATTTCCTTTCATAAAATCCAACTCAAATATTTTGTACAAATATCAGTACCAGCATATGGATTTGAAAAAAAATGTTCATGTAATTTTCTTATTTTGGACCGTAATATGCAATAAAAGATAGGGTGTAACTACCACAATATTCTATTCATTAAAAACGTATTTCCATATCCAATATGTACAGAAAAATAATATCAATGAAATAATGTGAAGGGATTACGTTCCGAGGGAACGAATTATTTAAAATAAACGAATGAATTACAATCCGAGATAACGGATTGTTTTATTTTTTGGGAACGAATTAATAATCCATGAGAACGAATTAGCAAATTATAATTATAACGAAAATTATAACGAATTATAACAGATTGTCAATCGATCCGAGAGAACAGATTGTATAATTTAAGAACTCGGTTTACTTCTATTCATTTAATAAATAATCCCTTTATGGCTTTCGTAACCTACAGTTTTGAGGTCAAGATGACACTATTTGGCTTAACAACACGATGTCTTTAATAATATAATAGTGTTGTGTTTTGCGTGCACTATGCCTAAATAGTAGTCAGGGTTTTTACACATGGTGCACGAGCCGGAGGCGAGTGCACTATGTGTCAAACCCTGACTACTATTTAGGCATAGTGCACGCAAAACACAACACTATTGTGATTATTATGCTGACTGTTGTTACTGTATAAAAACGGCAATATTTTCTCCATTCCCAGTGTTTCATCACCTATTACATTAGTCTACTCTATTATGACGTCACCTTGTGCAACATATACTCTATTATGACGTCACCTTGTGCAACATGTACGTCATAATCTTTTTCTTTAATTTTGAACGTTCCATGCTTTAGGTATAATATACAGATAGTTTTAGAGAATAGTATTTGAGTGAAGGAATTGGGGTTACAAGAAACTATTTTAGAATAATTATTTTGTTTATTTTTAATCTTAAGTGTAAAATAATTGAAACTAAGGTTATTGCAGCCCGGAGGACCGGGCTGCTCTGTACATATAAGTTTAAGTGTTGGTGTATGGGGATTGGGGTGGGAGTAGTTATTAAGAATTAAAAGTTTTCTAATCATTGAAAAGATTGTTAATCAGAATGTTCTTTCCGTTTATAAATTACGAGATACATTATATATTTACTTCTATAAAATGAATCTGTGAAAATATATATGTTTTTCATATTGAACATATTAAGTTGCTTATCATTTACTGTCGAAAAAACGACAGGTCCCTTTTTTTAGAACATCGAATTTTACTTCTCGCATAAAAACGTACTCTGCACATGCAGTTCGTGTTTTATATTCTAAAATCAAAACTTAATACATTTTTCAATATAGGTGATGCATGTGTCTAACTTCAATTTATATTTTATGCAGCCAACATTTACTTCAGGAATTGATCAAGTTTAAAATGGTATCGTTTTTTTTTTATTTATATCCGACTATAAGTTTTCATTATATTCGCGACTTTGGTCTCCATCAGTTAAACGCATGCCTTTTCACACATATCGAAGCGGGTTGATGATCATGTTTACTTTATATATTTCCCGGGAAACAATTGATGGTTACATCAATGTTTTCTTGTATATATTATAATACAGTATTATAGATAACAGCGTCTGTGGCGTAATCGGTAGCGCGTCGGACTGACAATCTCGGGTTCGTGAGTTCGCTCCCCGGTATGGGCATTGTCGAATTTTCTTCAGAAATTGAAGCCGTGCACTATTTCGGCATAGTATGCATACGCTTTATAAATCCTTAGAACACTATGCAAGAATAGTAGGGTATGGGTTATATAGAGACAAACTGACAGGAAGCATAATAATT